CCAAAATTCCATGTTTTCCGTCCCATTTTTGCTCATTTCTCGGAGGCAAAATGAGCAAGAACGCTCATTTGTACATCATTCTAGAGAGAAATAAATGGTCTTTTTAAAAAGTGAACCATGGATGGGGAAATGTTGGCAGTTTTCTTAAAAAATGCTGGAATTCAAGAAGTTTTAGACTTGCGTGGTTTTTTTTGAGTTGCAAAATCCACTTGAACATGACGCTGCTTTTTTCGAAGTTTCTCAAGAACCATTCGAGCCACAAAATTCGTTTTGGCATCGTTGGATAGATAATTAAATGTGGGGGGGGGGTCATGACGAAATCTTGATGAATTTACTGTTTATCCTATTGTCATCTGTATAATTCCATGGTTACCGGAGTTTTAAATACTTACGAAGCCACAGCTATTTAAGTAACCTTAATTAGGCTCAATACCTTAAGAGACATTGTTGCCGTTTTTCTAATATAGTTTTTTGCAAATGTCTCAGTTTTTTATAACAGTAATTTTTCTGCACTCCTGATGACGCCAATTGTGAATCACCTTGCATAAATGAAAAATGTTGAAAATCCCTAGATGCCTAATTACATGGGAAAAATCCCTAGAACTAGAGAAAAATTCCCTAGTATGGCTACGACCCGAAATTCTTCCCACCGTTAGTAGAAACTTCATTCTCAAAACCCTCAAAAGTGCATTCAAATCGAATCAGACCAGATCAGATGTTGTTTCTGTGCTAAGCTTCCCTTGCTATTCAATATGGAATAACCGAGATCATTGTCCAGTGTGCCTAATCCACTTATCACTGCTATAAATACTACAATGAACATATTGACCACATCAACCGTAGAAAATTTATTCAGGTTTGATATACTACCATTCGGTTCATTCTTAGCGAATTCAAAGATGTCTGGTTTTCCGCGTCTCTTTTCTTAACCACTAACCGAAGCGTTCTGTGGGTGGCACCTGATATTAATAATTTATGTGTTTTGGCTGACCGCAAAGTCCTGATCGCTATTCTTCCCTTAACCGCACTATTCGGCCGATTATTCTCGAATTCTCTCAGTGACGAATTTCCAATGAAACAAGCAAAACACGAGTTGCAAACTTATAGCAAATGTCGTTAAAACTCGAGTCACAGCCATCTTTTCTGGGGCTCTTAATTCCCCTGAATGCGACAAAAGCGTATTGACATCCCCATTAGGGAGCGTTTCAAACGCGCTCTTAAACTCCAAATGACAGTTTCGATATTTTATGTTTTGCGGCAAAATCTGCAAACATCCAGACCACACAGAATATCTGTTCTCATATTATTTCGCAATAAATCAATCGTTTGCATTGCGGAATGCTTCACTTTTCGCCACAATGGGGCCCATTCACTACACGAACCGTTCAAAGCAATAGAAGATTCAACCGCAATTCAATTGATGAATAGATGAGTGTGCTTTGTTTATTGCGTATTATTATTTAGGATCCTCCTATAAATTTAAAGTTCATGAAATTGAGCCTTCAGGGAGGGGATTTAGTGCTTTCAGTCAGGCGAACAAATGCCCGATACCAGAAAAGGAGTCTCTAAGTTTGTCATTTTTTCGCTCCAAACATGGGCTTTTGAACCATTCGGAG